TCCCATCAGCTGACAGACCAAAGATAATCACAGGTCCGGAGGACCTGCAGAAAGAAGCCAGACGAACTTTGGCTCCTTTAACTGTTGTAGACAAAAGAATATAAAAGAGCATCACTGTCCAGACATAAAAAATGTCCCCATGTTCATCCTATTTTTATTTTCTAAATTGAAATGATTTATTCTCCACAGCAGTGTCTGTTAGTTTAGATTATGTAATAATTGTACATATCGGTACTTTGACGATGTTTGTGTTTGTTGCTTTCCATTGAATTAACTTAAGTGAATATATTTTTATGCACAGCACATTTTGTATATATTTGTGTTCTTTTACATAAATATTTCGGGGGACTTTTGTAGTTTCTAAAGTCACGATTAGTACGAGTAGTAACATTATAATAAAATATTACACAAGTAAAGGTAAAACGTAGGGTGCATTTAAACTTGCAGAACCTAAATCTGAGTTAAAAAGTGTGTTCTGTAGATCTCAGCTGTCTCTCTGCCATCTGGATATTGCCGTTTATAGGAGGTTAGAACACAGATGGTTGCAGTGAGTAAAAATGCATACAGCAAAATACATTAAAGATAAGACACTGCAGTAAGAACAAGAGCATCAAATGGCACTGTGTAGTCATCGGAATCTGCCTACTATCCTGGGTTTACTTTAAAAAGCCATTAGTTGCATTCTTGGACATTAACTTTTAAAGCTTACCACCATTGATCCTTGCCAAAAAAATGGTAAAGTTAAATAAAATCTTATTTTCTGGATTTCAACATTTTACTGACATCTGCTGTCATATGTGAGGAGCTACTAGTTATTCTTTTTAACACATCTTTTCTTATTTTAAACCTGAAAGTACTACAAAAGCAGAGAACCAGAAGTGAGTTAAAAAGAAAAAAGATAAATGAAATACAGCAGTGTACCTTAATGATTCAGTTCTTCTGTAGGATCTCTATGTGTAATCACATGCTATTACCTTTTTATATTAATAATAAATTGCCTGATGAAGATGGAACCCATTTTCCTGCCCAAAAATAGAGTTTTATTTTATATCAGACTTTATTTTTTTAACAAGGAATGATTTATACAGGAGCAGAGTGTCAGGTGTATTTCCCTCCTACCTACCCTTGCATTTAACTGATTGGGTAAAATGCCTTAAACATACAGCAAGCACAACAAGGAGGAAAGATACTGTGCTATATGAAAAGTATAGGTTTTCAATCACCTTACAAGGAAATGTGTGGCTGTTAAAACATGGATGCAGCATACAGTTTAGCAAAAATGTCAGAAATCTTCCATGAGCGTCCCCCAGACCCAAGTGCTAGATTATCCTGGGGGGTCAATTGAAAAAGCTGAAGACAAATGAGCAAATAAAGAGGAACTATAACTATTGACAATGAAGAAATACTGAAGAAATGCATTTTTAAAAAATCCCTCTGGAAGAGGTGGGCAAGCTCAAAAAATTCCATTCACAGAACATCCAACAAAATAAACAAATGCATACCATAGATAAACTATTTGATCATTTTAGGCAACATTGAAATAATAGTCAGTCAGTTACAAGACCTTACTAATAAGATGTAAAATCAAGACTGGGATTTTGCATTCTACACATTCAATATTAATTTATGTCCTGAAATGTTATTTTAGTATTTTAGCACAAAAAGTCAGTCTTTGTTCCAACAATATATTCTGTAGGGGATTCTGATGTTGACTTTCTATAAATGGATGGCTATGGAGGTGTAAATTTAAACAATGTACGTAAATGAGGAAATCAATTAATTAAGAAAAATGTCCCGTATATTCCACTAATTAAGTCATTTTACATATATACAGAAAGCTCCAAAAATTCCATTTGGTAAAAAAGTAAAATTGTTATGGTTCTCATTTGTTGTGACTCTGAGTTTTCAGTTTTCTTTTATCAGTTGTTTTTATTTTCCATGATATTCTAGCATTCTTTAGTTACTCTCTGTTGCCCCCTTGTGATTGTTTTCTTTCCCCTTGGATTCCCTCTTGCCAGTTCCACCCACACCTGCTCCTCATTCAGCTCGTTAGTCCATCCTTTGTTTTGTTCTCCAAATACTCCATCTCTGCAGTCACTCAGTGCTGGTTCTTCTCATTGCTGTATTTGTCTACTCAGCTCGTCTCTCCCCGGCTCCTCAGACTCGGTTTCCCCTGATGTCTCCATGGTTTTGGTTTGTTTAATATTTTAAGTTGGATTTCTGCCTCTGCTACCTATGGTCTGCAATTAAACCTCTCAGAACTCATCTCTGCTTCACTCGTCTCTGCAATGGGTGGTGAGCAACCTCACCACCCATTGCTGACAATAATTTCTACTTTTGGTACGCAGTTATTTAGCTTTGCATCCTTCACATTTTCAGGCTCATTTCATATAAATATTATGAATATAGAAATTAACTAAATGAATTCTATTTATAATATTATTTGCAAGCTGTAATATGAGAAAAATACAAAGAATTAAGGCATGAACAATTGAATGATCAAAACTTTTGAACTTGTTACAGTAGGATTCTAACACCACCACATGAGGGCAGTATTATACCATTTTATCCAATCTTTTTTTAAAGAAGGCTGTGATTTTTAAAACTATTAATCTGCATTCTTACAGATCAGTAACTATGTGCTTGTAAACTAAATGATTTTGCCTATGTTGTGCAAAAGCCATAAAAATACAGAGCTCAAACCACTAAGAGATACAAAATGTTTTATTTCTAGATAATTGTGTGCTTTGCTGAATCAGCAAAGGAGGGTCCAAAGGAAGAGTTAAATGAGTGAAGTTAAACTTTACCTTAAAGTTTTACCTAATGAATAGATGATCTTAGATAAGAAGTCAACCTTTATCTCCTATTAAGGCACCTTATCTTTCATATCTAGCTGCTTTAGATTAAAAGTAGGTCAAAATACAGTACAGTGAAAAAAACAGAAAGCATCTTATACATACACGAGAAAAATGTGAAGATAAAAAATTAAGTTTTAGCTACTTTACTAAGAGCTTTTGAAGCTTTAAATTGAACTTATAAATTTGCATGAACAAACATAACTAAAAAGAAAAAAAGTGGTTTGTTTTGCGTATAAAACATTAAAGGGATTTTTAATCCTGAGACCGATTCTGTAGCAGTGATTACAGCATTTGCTATTTCATATTGAGAAATACAAAAGGAAAATAAATTCTTCACATAAACACATGGATTTGATTAGTTTTTCTCTTTCACAATTTAAATGTCTGCTCTTTAACATTTCAAATCCAGAGCAATATGGAGGCTTTATGTCACAAAAACATTTAAAAGAAATTAAACAGAGCATTCCTTTCAAATGCATTAAACACTAAAACTGGACAGTTTCTTTTACTTTTATTACTGCAGTGAAATGTTTATATGTAGCACTGTTTTAAAATCTGGTAAATTCCAATGACATGACTCCTTTAAACTCACTGGGGTGATGCAGCCTTAAGGTGCAGATGATTGGGAAGCAAAGACATCTAAGTTAGGAAACAGCTTTACAGGACGAGGACTGCAGCTGGAGTCTGAGCTTTAAGGACCAGCAGATACAGATGAAAGAGAGAAATGTGGCATCTGGATTATACAATTTACACAACTGATTTGTTCCTCCTTTTATTGGTATTCTGATTAATAATTATTATGACCAAAGCATGACATCAATTTTATTGATGATTTGATTTTCTTTAATATTATTTAATTTTTTAAACATTAGGTTTCAATTAATTAACGTCTTTATTCATTGTCTTATTGAACTCCGCAGCATGCTGAAACCACACCTTCTCCACATGCTTCTTTCCTAGCTCCCAGAATCGTTGGAGGATCTTAACTCCCTTTCTGGAAGTAATCATGAGATACTCTTCATTTTCTGGATGCAAAGTCACAGAATACCGAGCCATGACCAGCGACTGGCAGAATCGGGAGAGCACCAGAAGATAGAGGCAGTCTTTCTCATCTTGGTTGAGGGGGAAGACACTTTCCCAGCCGGCGAGGACAGGCCCACCGACCTGGATGGGATCCGGATGCTCAATCATCATGTACATTATGGTGATGGCTAGTTCGAAGACGTAGTAGCCACTATTCATGTCACCAAAGTCTAGGATGCCAGAAATCTTGTAGCCATGGTTGTCATCGGGTTGCACAAGCACATTCAGGTCATTAAAGTCGCCATGATTAATACCTTAAACAAAAATAAAAAAAAAACTTTTATAGAAGCAGCTACAAAAACCCTGAACTCATATTTGTTTCATCTAAAAATCTATTTCAAAATATCCAAACGAATGTGACTCACATTTCCGAAAATTGGGGCGCTTTGGGATCACATAGTCTTCATACTGAGTAATGACAGATTTCACAGCCTCCTGAAGTGGATCTCCATCTAATACATTCAAGTATCCCTTCAAGAGAGAAACGTTTGACAAGCTCCAGATGAAATTCTCCCTCTCAAGGATGCTGAGATGAGGGTGCTCCATCTAAAATGAGAGAAGCCAGGTAAGTAAGCAGCTAACGCATACGAAAAGGATGAAAAAATAGAATGCCTGGTCCTCAACTGGTGTTTTTTTTT